TAGAGGGTAGAACCAGAACCAGCATGCGGCCAGTTGCAAGTAACAGATTTCTACCACAACCCAAGGTCCATCTCCTAATGGCTCTTGTGGTTCCAACACGGAATGACCAGCCATGCGAGGGCACGGAGCCCACAGTTCCGGAGAGGTGAGCAGAGCATGGAACACGCCAGCTGTCCCGCCTCAGAGTCTCAGCTCCGAGCTGTGCCCATCTCTCCTCAAAGCGCCAGGAATCGGGACACATGCCCTTTCTGGAACCCTAACCTGAACTGGTAGCTGTTCTCCTTCCTGCGCCCCTCTCTCTGCCTGGCTTTGAGACACAATGCTCTCTTCCCACCTCCCTGGCTCCTGTAACTGTTATGTCCTGCGGGCCTCAGGCTGCCCTGTGGAGTGTCCTGACTTACACCTAACCCCTGGGCCACCCACCAGTCGCCTCCTCCGCCCCAGCCTTGTGACAGCATCCAGACGCACCTGCAAAGAACGCCACTCTCAGACCTGAAGCCTGGCCCTGCCAGCCAAGTTATCGGAGGCAAGTTACTTAGCCTCCCAGAACCAGTTTACCTGTCTGCTTCATTCATAACAGCAAGAACTTTAAAAACCCATGTCCAACCACAGAGGGCATTAAATATTAAGGTATATATCCAGGAGGGAATAGTAAGGATGCAGTAATAACATCGCAGAATATTTAGTGACACAGAAATGCTCATGAAATATTAAGAGAGAAATGATCATTGCAGAGCACTACTTATTATAAACACATTTTTTTGTAGAAAAGAATATCAATGCACAAAAAGCCTTAAGACAATCATAAAGCTAAGAGTAATTATTTTCTAATTATACTTTCTTTATACTTCCCAAGTTGTCAATGGTGTTAATACTTTTTAACTAGAAATAAGGTTATTTTTACAATCTTTTCACACTCTCGTCTTGGCCTGTTCCTCCTCAAAGATTAAAAACAAGACAAAACTAATGGATATAGAAACCTAAGAGGACACAGTGATGCCTGGCAGGTGGCTCAGGCGGTTGAAGCATCATCCTGTACACCAAAAGGTTGCAGGTTCGATTCCCAGTCAGGGCACATATCTAGGTTACCGGTTCAATCCCCAGTTGGGGAGTGTACAGGAGGCTACCAAATGAAATGTTTTTCTCTCACATCGATGTTTCTCCCTTTCTCTCTCTCTCTCTCTCTCTCTCTCTCTCTCTCTCTCTCTCTCTCTCTAAAAGTCAATAAACATATCCTTGGGTGAGGACTGAAAAAAAAAGGACAGAGTGAGTCCATGGCATTAGCTACTTATTCTTACCTACAATAAACGTGCTAAGTCTTGAACTTGGAGAAACAGGGCGGCTAAGGACACTGGGCTAAGGGAAGGTCACCCCTTGGACTGGTAGTATGAGTGGACTCCCAAAGGGTCCACTTGGACCCCCATGGAATTGCTTCCACTGCCACTGCCTGACTGTCCATTGTCAAGTCCTGTACATTTAAAACATGGTTTTAACTGTCCCTTTGACTGTCCCTCGAGGAAGACAGTGAGTGCCACGTGTCACCCACGGGTCACTGTGTCGCCGCGCTGTGAGGCTTGGCTCCACGTTGGGCTGGAGCAAACAGTCTGCCAGCAGAGCCGCGGCCCCATTCACTGGGCTTTGTCCCCTGGTAATGAGCTCCCTTGGCTCCCTCCCCACGCTGGAAAGCAGCGACCTCAGAGCAGAGCCAGCCGGAGAAGCCCCTTGAATGGCCCATCGAGGAATCTAGGCGTTTGGCAGTGGCTCGGCCGAAAGAGGCCAAAGCAAATTCGCGGTCATTTCAGTGGAAGATGTCAGCCTGACTCGAGATGGAATGTGTCACCTCCCCCTGGCTGCAGCCGGGCCAGTGACATGGCCACAGACACGCAGCGGGCCCCTATCTATGACCCGCTCTGCGGGCGCTCCAGGGCAGGTCTTGTCAGCAGGGATGTGCGTGGGCGGCCTGAGCACCGCATGGCTTGGTCCCCTTCCGTGCTGACAGCCACGGGAAAGGGCCAGCTGTGAAGAAGCTGTCTGACACGTGCAGTATCTCTATTCCTTTCCATCTCCAAGCCACACTCAGGTCTTCAGCATCTGACCCGACGGCTGCTGGCAGGCCTCTCTCTCTTACCCAGCTTTTCAGGAGCTGGGGCCGGAGGCACACAGCTACTCACCCCAACGCGTGCACATTTACACCCACAGTCCCAGCGCCAGTTCCTTCAGCCTTTCCTCCTCTCTGTGGGGAGCTAAGAGGCCTTAATTCATATTGATTCCGTTCAGTGGGTTCCTCTAAACACTTCCCAAAGCAAATTTAGTGGCTTCCCATTACAGCCGATAAGTGCTAACATCTCCTCATGATCACTCACACTCTTTTATGACCTGGATAGTAAATGGATGGACCAGTTATGTCCCGCATATGCTATGGCCTTAAATTGCTCCTGGAGAATCCGAACCACGCATGGAATAAAGGGCCACCCAGGGAGGCCAGGGGTGCGGGAGGCCGGCTCCCCGCTGTTCCCTGGAAACAAAGACCCGCGAACCCAGCAGGGAGACCCTCGGAGGGTCCGTCGCCATTGGTTTGGGAAGCTGGCCAGATGGACCAGAGCCACCGAGATGCCCATGCTCCATGCAAACAGCAGATGCTCTCTGCCTGCTTAACTACCACAGAGGAAACGGGGTCCAAGAAGAAATCTGGCCGAAACATTCTTCCTAGCAAAGGCTCACAGCAAATCCTACAGATAAAGGCTCAGAGGCCCCTCTGCCCACACTCCACCTCCCACACCCAAAACCAAATGCCTCCCCACCCTAAAGCTTTGCACACACCAACCAGGCCCCATCCAATGCAGGGAAAAAGACATAGGCCCCCATGTCATGGAAACTTCCAGAAGAGAGCGCTGAGCCCGCTGCCTTGCGCAGGAAGCCCCGAGCAGACGTGATTGAGCACAGCCATGACTTGAGGAGGTATCTGGGGAGACATTTTTCTATTTGATTCTATCATTAGAGACAAGAACTCAGCTTTTCACTCTCCGTTTCCTTCTCTGCGCTCTGATTTATCTACTTGCTGTTGTCACTGCCAGAAAACATCTCTCCCGGAGTCCTAGGGTAGCATCCGTCAAGTCAGAGACCAGCTGTCCTGCTGGGCCTCAGGAGACCAGGCTGTGGCCCATGTCCTCGTCTGCAACAGTCACGTGGAGTGGCTTTCACTCAAGCTTTAAAAGTAACAAAATGCAGCCCTAGCCGGTTTGGCTCAGTGGATAAGAGTGTCGGCCTGTGGACTGAAGGATCCGGGTTCAATTCCAGTCAAGGGCACATGCCCGGGTTGTGGGCTCATTCCCCAACAGGGGGCATGCAGGAGGCAGCCGATCAATGATTCTCTCTCATCACTGATGTTTCCCTCTCTTTCTCCCTCTCCCTTCCTCTCTGAAATCAATACAAATATATTTTAAAAATAAAATAAAAGTAACAAAATGCACATGATTTCCTTGAACCCCTCTCCCCAGCTTCAGCCACAATCATGGAAGCCCCTAGCCACATGGGGAGAGGACCCGGCCATGTCTGGCCTGAGCAGTCTCCTCCTCTACTTCGCGTTCCATGGTTAGGTCCTGACCAAGCTCACAGGTACTACCTTCCTCAGCTTCAGCCCACCCGCAGAGGACTGAAACATACGCTTGTAACATATTTGTTCACCAACAGCATCTCGTGCAGAGCGGGGACCGAGAGGCCCAGAGGAAAATCGGGGTTCAGGAGTGTAACCCTCCCAGGCCCTCCTGGCTCAGAAAGCTTAGGCGGCTGGAAGCTTGGCAGATAGGAAGCCTGGTGTTAAATTCTGTTCAAATTCTATGGTAACCAACCCTCCGTGTTATAACGAACTTCGTATCTCAAGGCGCACTGCTTTTGGGAGGCGCAAAGCTTCCGCCAGCAGAGGTAACTTTTTCAAAACTTAGCACTCGGGGACGGGATGTGTCATACAGTCCAACAGCTTGTGGGAAGCAAAATTCTACTTGGCAAACAAGGGGTGGAGATGCTAGGCAGGCCAGGCCTCACCGTGCAAATGACCTTGCAACATGACCCAGGGGCAGTGACACGACCAAGGAGTCCATGCCACCTTGCCAAGAGCAGACACACCCATTTCCTATAAGAGCCGATCGCCACTTAGATATTTCTTAGCCCCGTATCTGCAAATGGCTTCCATCCCTTCCAGGATAAAATATCAGAAACGCACACAGCGCAAAGCAATTTTTAAAAACTCACATGCACCTGATTTCTTCCGAAATACCCAGTTTCAGCACATACCCCCGTTACAGAAAAAAATTACTTCAAGTCACCAACTTTGAATGATAGCAAATGCCAACGAGTAGAGTCCAAGTCTTCCCAGGTAGCCCCAAGTTCACAGGCACACAGAAGAGCAGGTAAATAAACACAAAACTCCTCCTGACCACGTCTCCCCTCTCGGGTCTCTAATGCTCAAACTCAGCACAGTGGCATCACCTGGGGAGCTTTTTAAAAATGCATTATGGCCCTAGCCGGTTTGGCTCAGTGGATAGAGCATCGGCCTGCAGACCAAAGGGTCCCGGGTTCGATTCCGGTCAAGGGCACATGCCTCAGTGGCAGGCTCCTCCCTGGCTTGGGCCCTAGTCTGGGCTTGTGCAGGAGGCAACCAATCGATGTGTTTCCCTCACATCGATGTTTCTCTCTGTCTTTCCCTCTCTCTCCCACTCTCTATAAAAAAATAAAAAGAAAATCAATGGAAAAATATCCTCGGGTGAGATTTTTTTTAAAAAAGCCTTAAGCCCAGATGGCACCCCAACCCAACTACACCAGATTTCCTGGGGTGACACTCAGACATGAGCTCTCAAAATCCCTGTGTTTTGAAGCCAATTGTGAGAACCAGTGGCTCCGGCAAAATACAAAGTTCACGGCCCACCTTTCCTTCCTTTCTCAACACGCCCACGTTACTAACAGCATGAACCAGAGAACCGCGCCCGGCGCTGGCCGGCTCCTACCTATATAGAGCGAGGAGTCCTTCCTCCGCACGTGGTCGTCGATGTAGGAGACGCCCAGGGGCTGCACGGGGGTAGCACCGATGCCCAGGAGCACCTGGGCCCCAATCAGCAGCAGGTACATCATGTTGGTGGTGGTCCGGTTGCGGCAGATGAGGTCAGGATCGGGCCCCTGGTCGCTGGCTGTGCCATTGGCGGCGCAGACGTCGCGGCCCTCGGCGCCCCAGAGGATCTCGCCGGCCTCGTACTTGTACTGGTGGGTCAGGAACTCGGGCAAGGCGGACAGCAGCGCCCCCAGGGCCATGACGATGCCCCCGCAGCCGATGAGGCGCGGCCGGTGCCCCCGTGCCCCGAAGTAGCTGACGAAGAGGATGAGCGCCAGGTTGCCGATCTCGAAGCTGCTGGCGATCACACCCACGTCGGCGCTCTGCAGGTTGAACCTCCGCTCCAGGGTGGTCAGCACGCTCACCTGCAGGTGCCAAACAAAATCTCAGTGTCAATCCCGGTGGACACCACGGGGGAAGCCCTTTCTGGCCTCGTGGTACCCCTGCCCCTCTCGACCCTCCCTGGAGGTTTGTACCAGATGCAAAAAGACACCTGTGCACGGGATTTACACCCTAAGAGTCCAACAAGTGTTTACTCAGTATGATAACGCTAATCACACGGTTAGAGAAGTTTTTCTCACTGGCAGAGAAGTTGTTCTGGGCCCCTTTCCTTCCAGAAACGTCCTGCCTCTGCCCAGGAAGCATACCTTCCCTTACTCCATCGCACTTCAGGGCCCTCGAATCCTGTGAAAGTCAGAAGTCACGGTGCCTTCACGCTCCCAACTCGAGCCTATTTATTTACAAAGCCCATCTGGGAGGACCCAAAGGAAATAAATAAAACGAAACAAAAACCTGGGCAAGCTAGATGAGCTCCTTAGGATAAGCAGTAGCCCTTTGCTTTCTTCTAGAGATTTCCAAAAGACGCAGATGTCCCTAGAGGCCACCAGGTAGTTCATTCCTGACTGTTCTATGCCCTATAGCCCCACGAAGGCCCCTCGGAAGGAATACGTTTATGCTTTCCCCCACCTCTGTATTCCTGTCCGCCTTCCATTGGTTTAACAAATATTTACTCTCTACTACTGGCCTGATAAGGCTCTAGTCACCACAGAGAGAAATCCAAGGAAGAGATGACACCTGGCATGAACATGTCGCCTAGCATGGATCTAGCCTTCCTCCAAATGTATGAGCAGCCGCAAACTCTCCAAGTGCCCAGGCACATGTGCCCACACGCACACCCTGTGTACCCCTGTGATGATCAGCACACGTGTGTTCTATTTGCTTTCATTATAAAAAAGAACTGCACACATTCAGACAGGCTCCGCTGGCCCTGAGGTTCCCCGGGCACTAGAAGTTTCAGGTGGCTGGGCCCTCCCAGTTTCGGGCCAATTGGTCTGGGAGACACCTGGGCCCTGGGATGCATTAAGGAGCCCCAGGGGATTCTGTGAGCTAACACAACACATGTTCCTTGCCCAACCCTCCAGCTCTGGTCCTGGAAGCTCTGCAGAGCAGCGTTCTAACACTGACACAGCCCCCATCTGTGACCAGTGACAGGACAGCTGAGTACCCTGTCACCTGCATTCCAAATCTGATGCCCGTTTCCATGGTGCTTGCTTTTTTTATATATATTTTTATTGACTTCAGAGAGGAAGGGAGAGGAAGAGAGAGAAACATCAACGATGAGAGAGCATCATGGATCGGCTGCCTCCTGCATGCTTCCCACTGGAGATCGAGTCTGCAACCCGGGCATGTGCCCTGACAGGGAATTGAACCGTGACCTCCTGGTTCATAGGCCGAGGCCCAACCACTGGGCCACACCAACCGGGCTCCATTGTGCTTTCTAACCCAGTCAAGGCCAACCCGAGGTGTGTAGCTAGATTATTATTTTTCAAACACCAAGTATTGGCAACGGTTAGGGGGTAAAAACAAAGGCTTCATTCATTCAGCCTGTTCCTTTGTAACACAAGCAAGCATGATGGCCTACGACAGCGGTTCTCAACCTTCTGGCCCTTTAAATACAGTTCCTCATGTTGTGACCCCCAACCTAAAATTATTTTCGTTGCTACTTCATAACTGTAATTTTGCTACTGTGATTAATCGTCATGTAAATATCTGATATGCAGGATGGTCTTAGCTGACCCCTGTGAAAGGGTCATTCGACCGCCAAAGTGGTCACGACCCACAGGTTGAGAACTGCTGGCCTATGAGCTCTAACCAAGGCTTATCATCAGTAATGCAATGATGGAGGGAACCCCATGGCCTGGGAGGTGGGGGCTTCGGGGTTCACCCAGGCCTTGGTGGTGAATCCAGAGATGCCCAGCAGAGGCCGGACGCAGAAACAAGCAGGGACCCCACCTACGGGACCCCACGAGAGTCACCAGGATCAGTCCGGTGGGTCTGCAGCCCGGTGACCTCCACCCTGAGAGTAGAGGACAGTGAGGGTGGCAGGAAGGCTGGGCAGGTGGGCCAGGCTAGAGCGGAAGCCCAATCTCATTCCTGCCAGGAGGCTTAACGACATACATACTTGTCAGCGTGTCTGCAAACACGGCATCCGCTCGGTTTGAGCAGGTGCGCCCTGTCATGAAATATCACACAGGTATGGACATCGACGATGACAGATAAGGGTGGAGGGGTAGGGACAGCTGTGGGAGAAAGAGCAACAAGCAGCTCTTTAGAGAGACTGACGCCGGGGCCTGCAGCTCGGCCTGCCTCCCACCTGCTCTTGGCAGGGCGACCGCAGGGGTGACAGGAGGCAGTGGGGCCTTCACCTCCTTGCCTCAGCCTCGGGGACGCCCGGGTGGATCGTGTTTTGTGGATCAATTAGATCAGAGGCTAATGTCCTCAGTCACTTAAAGCACAATTTTGAGAAGACAGGCTAAGTAAGCATGCAGGAGGCCTCAGACCTCACTCGTGGCTTTTATGGGGCAGCGACAACCCATCAAGGAGGAGGTGGTGCTAAAGGGAACCACCATCTTACTTAATGGGAAACAGAAGTGAGGGAAAACAGCTTGATCACTGGAGACCAAGGAGAGGAAACTACGGGAGGAAAACAAAAGCGGAAGTGTCCTTGCCAAGTGAGTATGAAGTCATTATTAAAAGAATGCTTATTTATCAGGTTTCTACTGCAACCATTAGAAAGAAAAAAAGAAATGGGGGGGGGGGAGGGTTGTATCTCAAAATCTCCTAGAGCACATGATTAAGAAAATACAGATTCCCCGCCCTGGCCGGTTTGGCTCAGTGGATAGAGCGTCGGCCTGCGGTCTGAAGGGCTCTGGGTTCGATTCCGGTCAAGGGCATGTACCTTGGTTGAAGGCTCCTCCCCGGCCCAGGCCCTGCTCAGGGCGCATACAGGAGGCAACCAATCGATGTGTCTCTCTCACATCGATATTTCTCCCTGTCTTTCCCTCTCTCTTCCCCTCTCCCTAAGAAATCAATGGGAAAACACCCTCGGGTGAGAATTCACAAAAATCCAGGTTCCCCGACCCTGAGATGAGGTCCGGGCGTCTGAGGTTCTACAAAGCACCGGGGGTCTCTGATGCCCACTGGGGGCTGAGGACCACACCCCTGGCCCTGCAGGTCCACGCGTGTACTCACCGTCCCCCTAGAGCTGTGGTCCTCACCCTTCGGTGGCAGCAAAATCATCCGAGGCTCCCAGCCTGCAGGCTCCAGCCACAGAGCGCGGGCAGGGGCGGGACTGGACCGGCTCTAAAACCGCTGGTTCTCACAAGCTCCCAGGTGATGCCCATGTGCTCATCAGGGGCCTGATTTGAGAACTCTGCTCTCCTGACCTCCCTCTGCAGCAAACCCAGCCCACGTGGGATCACAGAGCTTGGTGTTTCAATTAGATGCCCATGGACAGCACCCCCTCATTTCTAACTCATAGCCATGCCCTCCTGAATGGGAAAGGCGGGCTGCACTGAGGGTGCCTGAAGCACGGTCAGGCCAGCGGCAGAGATGGGGGCCAGCCCAAAAGGGAGACTGTCAGATCACGCTGTCACAAATGTCAGAGGGCTGGATGCCCCAGAGGCCAAGGCTCACCTTCCAAAGGGCCAGGGTTGTCTGGAACGCAGTAAGAAGGCAATATCTTAGGAGCGGTACTGGAAGCTCATTGCTCCCATGAGCCCTCTCGCTTTCTTACTCAGCCTTGCTCAGCAGGGCCTGGACCTGAACTAGCATCACCTGGGAGCTATTGAAACACAGGACTCTAATGCAGTGGTTCTCAACCTTCTGGCCCTTTAAATACAGTTCCTCATGTTGTGACCCAACCATAAAATTATTTTCGTTGCTACTTCATCACTGTCATGTTGCTACTGTGATGAATCGTCATGTAAATATCTGATATGCAGGATGGTCTTAGGCGACCCCTGTGAAAGGGTCGTTCGACCGCCAAAGGGGTCGCGACCCACAGGTTGAGAACCGCTGCAAAATGTAACCTAGGAGAGCTGGGCCGGGCATGAATGCTTTCAAAGCTCCCGCACCCAGACAGGTGGAGGTATGTGTGCGCAGACCGTGTGCATGGACACTGCAGAGGGTGTACACGCATGGATGTTTGCAACCGTGCAACCTGGTCATATCAGTGTGGCATCAGGACAGAGGAGCCTCAAGTTCAAATCTGCCTCTGACAGATGGTGGCCACAGACGTGCATACATATGTAACAGTGCAACGACTTGAACTCTTATGATGTATCCACTTGCACATTTTATTGCATTAGTTGAAGCCTTAATTTAAAATTATTTTTAAAAGGAGAAAAAATCTAGCTTTGACAGCAATTGGCCAAGTCAAGCGTTGTGAGCCTGTTTTCACATCTGTGCGGTGTGGGACAATGTCTGAGTGAGTGCTATGCGACCGCAGCTGGTACACAGTAGGTACACCGGTGCGCATGCTCTGGGTGACTTCCGGTTCCATCCCGAGCACAATGCCTGCTCCGTGGCACACACCAGAAACCTAACTATGACTGGAGACCATGCCTGGCCTGGGGGAGTTTACAGTCTGAGGAGAACAGAAAGACCATCGCAGAACAGCACGGCCTCTAATCAGGGGTATATGACAGAGTGCAGAGGGCTCCAGGGAATCAAGTGTCCTGCACATGGAGAACAAAAACATGTCGGTGATACAACGTGGATGAACTGGGTGGTATCAGGTTTGCAGGGGGCACAGGGGCTGCCCCAACATTCCAGAGCAAAGATCAGAGCGTGAGGCGGCTTGCGGGTGGGAGGAAAGTTCAGACAGCCCTGGGGAGGGAAGGACCTTTTGACCCCAGAGCGCTGTGAGGAGTCACCTGAGATGGAGAAGGCAGGCGGAGGGCCCACCCTGGATTTGGAAGTCAATGGGGAGCCCAGGGAGGTTCCTGAGCAGGAGCCATCCATCAGCAGCGTTACGCTGGCATCGCTGCCAAGCAGGGAGTGAGCAGAAACTGCCCAGGCAGCT